GAGCGTCACGGAGGATGGGATGCTGCGTTTTTCTATGAGTTCGTATTTTTCTAGAGAAAAGTTTCGAGACACTTAACGAATGGTTTTCAGTAAACTGGACCTCTTCGGCTAGCTGTTTTTCTTCAGACAATCTCTTAGCTCGTTCAAAAATATCACAAATCAAGGGCAGAACAGAAACATCGTTCTGCAGATGGAAACGACGATAAATCCTGCGCAATCTGCGACGAAATGGTAAAGGTAGGAAAATCTCATCCCCAACATTAATAATTTTCTTACGGGGGACAAAACGAGAAATAAGCGGATGCAAAATTTCGTACAGTTTTGCAGTGCAAACATTTACATCCGAACTAAGGAAGAACTCATTCCAGTCGTAGGAATTAAATTGCGTTAATAATTCGGTTGAGCGAGTTGATCGAAAATTGCAGAAAAGCTATTCTTTGTGGACGACGTTTTGTCAGCCTCGAATTCCAACGCTGAAACAACTATGTCATGGTCTGAGCCCCCGAGTGGGCCTAGGGATGACACTGACGATGGCATGCAGCCTCTACAGAAAATTAAGTCAAGTATACTTGAGCCTCGGGTGGGAAAATCAACAACCTGAGTCCACATCCCGACATCCACAGCCTCAAGAATGTCATCGAACCTTCTGGGGCCTGAAGGCGGAGACCAGCGGACTTCAGGGAGATTAAAGTCACCCGCAACCAGTTGATACTTAAAACTTAAGTCGGCCGCAGCATGAAATGCCTGTGAGAGTAAGCGATCAAAATAGTCATTGGCGTTGGGAGGGCGATAGACGCAGCCAACGAGTAAGGAGAAATTATTTTTTAGTGCAACCTCGAGCCAGCAGCTGCCTTCTACCGCTGAAAGGTGCAGGATGTCCAACGGCAAACATGTAAGTGTTTGCTTAACGTAGACGCAGCAGCCCCACCACGGCTATCTTGGCGATCATTTCGAATGCAATTGTAGCCTAGAAGAGAGAGTTCGGAGTCAGCTACTGAGGCTGATGCGCACGTCTCAGTTACTAAAACAATATCAGGACAATGGACGAAAACCTGAGTCTGAAGCAAAGGCATCTTATTAAGCAAGGATCTGGCATTTAAAACAAAAAGTTTGAAGGGAAAGGCCGTTAGTTTTTGAGGGAGGTGGGCTACATCGTCCAGTTCTGGGTCGCCCACGGAGCAAACGCTCCGGATGCAACCATCCGGTTCTGCAAAAAATTTTTGGCATCAAAAAATTCTGACGTGGATAAAAAAGGGGAGGACTTGGGGGAGGGAATGACGGGCAGGTAAACTGGTAACTATTGTTAGCTAACTTATTTTCAGCTGGAAATCCGCGGGGCAGATACCGCAACGTATTCCCGCCGGGACGACACTGAGGATCGGATGAATTAACTGATTCAGTATGGACATTATCATGAGGAATAAATTGGTAAAACGGCCGTGGAGGAAACAAGTTAGGGGGTGGGGGATGCATTGTTTCCATTGGAACAATAGGTCTATTAAACGGTGGGAAAATCGGCATATTCGGCCTAACTGCCTTGATATGAGGGCTGGGGGGCAGTTGCGAACCCGCTACGTTTTGAGTCGGGGTATTTGAGGCACTGTTCGCCGATTGGGGAGGAAAACATTTTATACTGGTGCTGGATTTATTGGGTGTCCGAGTGGCTGAGACAGCAATTGGATTTGCCTTTGACTTAGGCACATGCTTAGGCTTACTAGGGGTTGCTGAGGGAGTCGATAGAGGCGTGTTTATACCAGGCGTGGTGGTGTGTTTAAAGAGGTCAGCATTAAAAGTAGTCGAACTCCCTACGGAATTGACTATGCCGTGACTTGCAGATGCCGCAGGTGGTGTTGTAGAGGACATATTCAGACTGACAGTAGGTGTCATTATCTTGGTGTTGGTTTTTGCCGATTTCAGTTTATTCAGTCTTCGCTGCAGGGGTGTGAGGTCTGGCGAAACGGAGCAGCGCCATTTACGGCAGAAGTCTCTAGTCATCTCCCTACTCGACAAGATAAAATCGACTTCTATCATAGAGAAAAGGGTAACTAGTATCGGCGCATTACGGCTAAGCGAGCGAAGTCGCTTAGCTTGTGCGACACTAAAACTGAAACCACAACTTTGTAGGAACAAATGCGCTCCCTCCATAGCCGATAAGTGGCTCGGAATGTTTCGCAGTACGAAATTATGCTTGCGTTTAATTCGTTCCTCAGTTTCCGAACTTATTACCCCAATAAGTTTAAAAGCTTGTTCAAGAGAGGTTCTAAATGTACTAAAGGGATTTGTGAGTTAATCAGATCTGCAGACGGCGAAGAACATACGCTGGCGTCTGCCATGTCTTCAGTCACGATTTTAGCACCCAGAGACGGTGGGGAGGCCGCAAGCTTTCGCCTTTTAGCACGTGCTCTGTGGGGCATTACAGACAAAAAAAGTTTTTCGTTACAGAAGAGGGATCAAAACGGAAACGCGCACTGAGTAGCAAGTAGTACTGTTTTTTTTACTACGAAAACTAGAAAGCGGTAGTAGGGAAAGGATTCACTACAATGGATTTTTTTACAAAATACGACTTTTTTGCCAGACTGTCAAACAAACTGGGAAAAAATTTTACCTTATATAGAAAGGCGACTTTTAAAACGGACTCAAGTAAAAAAAACAGGCATTAATTACTTAAGAATATCCAGATAAATGCAGAGCTTCACTTATCTTTGAAATTGAGCTGCGCGCGGTTGGTGTGTTAAGCATTCGGCTGAAGGGGTCTACTGCAGATCGGAGAAGGAGCTATACGTTGAGGGCGAAATTTCGTCAGCCTCAAGTCGTAACGTAGAAGTAACTATGTCGTGGCTTGAACAACCGAGTGGGCCCAGAGATGACATTAATAAAGGCATACAACCCCTACAGAAAATTACATCATGTATTTTTAATCCTCTGGCTGGAAAATCGTCAACAGAACCCACATACCAACATCTACATTTCCAAGTAGGTCTTCGAACTTCTAGGGCCGGAAGGCCGGGACCAGCGGACTTCCAGAAGACTGAAGTAATCCGCAATCAACTAGTGCTAAAAGTGTGAGTCGAACGCAGCATAAAACGCCTGTAGGCTACAACAATGAAAATTTTCCCTGGCGTTCGGAAGGTGATAGACACGGACGACGAGTAGAATACTTATTCTTTAGAGAACCCTAAAGCCAGCAGCTATCGTCTGCCGCAGAATAATGCGGGAGTTCCAGCGGCAAAAATGAAAGTGTTTGCCTAACGTGAGTGAAGCTTTCCCCACCACAGCTGCTTTGACTATCGTTCCAAATGCAAATATAGCTTGGAACCTAGAGAGTCGGAGTCCGATAGGGAGGTAGTTGTCCATGCCTCAGTTACCCAAATAATGTCTGGACATAAGACGAACACTAGTATCTGAAACGGGTTCATCTTAATTGGCAAGAATCTGGCATTTAGAACGAAAAGTTTAATTGAACAGGCTGTGTTTCTGCCGATGGTGAGCTGCGTAATCCAGTGGCTGACTTTTCGCCGAATACAGGGCTCAGATGCACTTATCCGGTTCTGTAAAAAAATGCTGTGGCGTCGAAAGAGCCAGATGTGGATAAAGTGGAGTGGGATTTGGGGGAGGAAATGACGGGTAGGGAGAATGATTAATATCGTTAGCTAACTGAGTTTCTACTGGAAACCCATAGGCAGGATACTGTAACGCATTCCATCCGAGGTGCATTTGAACGCTGGTCGGCTTCATTGGCCCAGTATGAACATTTGCTCAATAATTCCACTGATAGAACGACCGTGGAGGGAGCATGTTTAGGCGGAGGGGGTGGACGGCGCATTGCTTCGGTTGGTGCGGGAATTTCATTCACGGACAGAAATGTTGGCGTATGCAGTTTAACCGTCTATGTGGTAGTTGGAAACACGTTGTGTTTGCGGCCGCGCAGTCTGAGGGAGTGGAGGCGATTGTAAGGGAAAGTTTACTTTGAGAATCTGGATTTCTACAGTGTTCGAGTGGCTGAGATCACACTCCTAGTCGTCTTTGGTTTAGGCACTTGCTTTGCTTTACTAGGAGTTATTAGCGGTGTGAGAAGGGATGTTTGCATAAGAGATGTGTTGTTACGTTTAAAGATTAAATCATCAGCAGTAGCCGAGTCCCTACTGATTCAACTATGTCAGCAGCCGAGTCCCCTACGAACCTAAATATCTCAATATACGGTGAGAGTGTGGATGGCGTTGAACAAGACTGATTCAAAACGACATCAGTGGGTGTTATGTCAGTGTTGACCGTCGACCTTTTCACACTTTTGAATCTTCTCCGCATAGGTATGGTGTCCAAGGAAATTAAGCAGTTCAGTCAACGGCAGGATTCCCTAGTTATCTCCTTTCTCAACACGATGGAGTCAACTTTATTAAGGAGAAGAGATTGCGAGGAGGCCGTGAGCTTTCTTCTTTTAGAAAGTCTCTTTCGGAGCATTAGAAGATACTAGACAGATTTTTTCTTGCGGTACAGAAATCAGTACGTTGTTAATTTACAAAAAATTGCATGAAACAGATAATATTACAGCCAGCTTACTATATTAACCAGGAAGAAGCGGCCTAACACGGCCTCAGCAAGTAAATGCTTAGCAAGATGCAGTATATTTTTCAGACCGCGTAATAGTACAAAGAGCAATTATACTTGGCAATAGAAGAGAGTTTATGGAGAACCCAATCAAAAATACGCATTTATTGTGTAAGAACATCGAAGTAAAGGCAGAGCTTCAGTTATCTCTGAAATTAGGCCGCGTGCGTTAACCCCAACCTTGACTTCCCATCGACAACTTGGTCACTTCTCCTCCTGTATGGGAAAATATTCGACGATAACTTCCTGATACCTTACAAAAATATCTATGCGTTTTAAGCTTGCAGTCTTCGACTGAACACTGGATCAGCGCGCTCGAAATAAAAGGCAGGTTCTACGTCAGCAACACTGATTCTAGGAAGGTTTTAGACAATTACCCATGCTTGCATATACGGCGGGGTCAGCGGGAGTACTATCACGTAGTACTCCACGAACGCCACGAAGTTTCGACGTGCAACACAGAGGGCCGATGAGGCACTGCGCCTCAGGGAATTCGCAGTACAGGTTGGTATTTTAAGGGGATGTCAAAAGTGGACGAAAAGGCGGCGCCTCCTGCATATTTTTTCGTGGCGGGGCTAGATCGGGTTGTCGCGTACGATGTCTCTCATAGCCCCATTGAGCCCCTCGGGGTTCGAGGGAGCTAGGTGGGGCTGGTGCTGGCAGAGCGTATATCGAAGTTAAATTTACAGGCCTCTCGAAACTAGAATAAGGGGCGAGCTGATAGCGTGCATCGTAGGTTTCCTTACAGTAAGACCGGAAACCCTGTGTGCTCGTATCTCAATGTCAATACCATTACCATTTTAATAGCTGTCTCCACAGGTGTGAGACCTTGGGCCATTGCTCCGCCTGCTCTACGTAAAGGACCGTGATCGACATTAGCAGTCGGGCTGCCTTGTAAAGTGGTGATTAACGGACGGGTGACAAATCTGTCCCCGTTGGCCATTTTACTATTGGTAAGAGGTGTATAAAATAAAAAAGTCGGTCTTTAGATGGCTATATTCTTCACGGAAGTTTTAAGTAGTGAGGCTAACAAGGAATCCACACCGCGCGTTCAAGGGCAGACCGTGTATGCAGAGCGTGGGAGCCTCAATGAAAAAGTACGCTGCCAGGAGCGGAATAAGTTAATTCTGGGTCGACGCACAAATGGACTATACGAACATCATTGCGCCCCTTTCTTCTGTATGATATTTATATTCGTTGATAAGCTACTCTCCTTTGTTTAAAGGATGATCGGCTCACTCTCAACGCCAAATAATCCGTCGAAGTAATAATAATAACAATTTTAATCCAGATCCGTGGGGGGCCGTTCATAGGAAGTAAAAATAACTTTTGCTTGAACTTCAGAATTTAAGAATAGATGTACAGAATCTATGCAATACTTATTTCATAGTTATTGAAAAAGTTGTATGTTACAAAGAATTGTGAGGAAGCAGTGAAAAAACGATTAACATAAAAACAAAATGAGTATGACTGGATTAACACTATAGGAGAAAAAACTCTCGCTCCTTAATATAAAAAGCATGCAGGACCGGCATGTATGTGACAGTGTGTAACGGATTTAATGAAGGGGTAAGTAGGCGGGTCAGACAGGAATGGCCTGTATGTGGTATTGAGTAAAAGGTTCGAAACGAACATCATCAAGGCAGAATTCATATGCCGGATGAGGCCATTCATATCAAAGTGGCGAATATAAAACCAGTCTCGAGGCGATGGGAACCTAGATGCGATGGTTACAGTCGGCCGAGTCCAGTCGAGGAGGGGCAGGGGAGATACGACCAGACTACTAGCATATGGCGAATGCAGAGGGTTCCGCCAAGAACGTTGATAGAGTACATTCTGTGAGGACACGATGCATGAGCTGAAAAATCGAAAATATTAGAATTTCTGATGAGGGATCCTAGGACGCGATACTACAAACAAAAGAGGGAAATGTGAGCAGGTACGGAAATTTGTTGGTGGCATCCTAAATTCCCAGTGGTCCTTTCTCAGCGTCATAGAGAAAGCTGTCCAGGAAGGATGAAGAAAGTAAACGTTTAATCGAATTAATATTCAGATAAACGCGTAGTCTTCTCTTAAACGTGTGTAGATTATCTAAAGATCTTACATTTATTGGGAGGTTATTCCAGAGAAAAGTATGCCTGGAAGCGGCAAAGAAGGGAGAGCATAAAGGTGGAGGAAGCTGTGGGAGGTATAATCAAGGAAGAGTTGCGAAGATTGCATGGAAGCCTACGAGGGGTAAGTGATGAAATCGGAGGAAGATTTTAACAGTTATAAATACAGAAGAAGAGACAGAAACCTGCTTCTAGTCTTCGAACCCATAAAAAGTTTAGGGTAGTAAGCTGGCATCCATTTGAATAGGAGATATTTGGATGTTCTCTGTCTAAAGGTTTTCTACTAAAACGTCTTTGGACATTTTCAATTTGGGGACGACTAGCCTCGTTCATCAAACCAAAGAATGGGCAACGATACTCGAGAATGGGAAGTACAAACATAGGATAATGTCTTAATTTTCCGGAAAGTAAGATCCTTCACGACAAAGTTGCTGCAATCTCTATAGAGCTGGAGCCGAGCTCTCGATGCCGGGCATGCCGCGCACATAGCCTTCGTCGACTTCCAATAGGCGTTTGACGCTCTTCCACACCAGATGCTCTTACATAAACTAAAAAAATAGGGCTCGGGGGCAACTGCCTTAAATGGATCGAAAACTTCCTTGTGAGTCGATACCAGGTTGGGTGCATCGTTCAAGGGAAATCAGATCCTGCTAGGGTCTAGAGTGGTGTCGCCCAGAGTTCGGTATTGGGACCAGTTTTGTTCCTTATATACGGAGACGATGCCGCAAGAGCTTTAGGCTGCGAAGTAGCAGTGTTTTCCGATGATATGAAGACATGGAGTGTATTTTAGGGTCCTGCCAATGAAGACAGAATACAGGTGAAACTAAATCACTTGGGGGAGTTGTCCAACCGTTGGCTCCTGCGGTTCAACGTTGGTAAATGTAGCATTCTTCGCCTAGACAACACAGCCGGACCAGCCAGCACTTTCTGGGCGGTGCAGCCCTACAAGAGGTCGAAGCCCAAATGGACCTCGGTGTGCAAAAAGCGCAATGCCCGTACAGTACGCAGTCAAGCGTGCGCTTACGGATTTTGACGAAAATGCTTTCCCAAGGACATTCGGAACATTTGTCTGGCCGCATTTGGAGTACGGCATACAAGCCTGCAGACCGTGGACGGTTAAAGATAAAAACTGCCTTTAAAGAGTTCAGAGGAGAGCCACGAAGATGGTTAGGGGTCCAAGTTCCTTTCTTATGTAACCCGCCTAGTAAATCTGATCCTCTTCCCTTTAAGTTACAGACAACTTCGGGGGATATCTTGCAAGTATTCCGCATTGTAAAGCGGTTGGATTGGAGTCTGGCCTACGAGGACGTTTTTCAATTCGCTACTACGATCAAAATCCGAGGTCACCCGTTAAAACTGCGTACTCAGCAGGCAAGGCTTGATGTGTGGAAGTCCTCCTTCTCTGTTGGAGTGGTCAAACCATGGAATGCCCTTCCCGCAGACGCTGTGATGTCACCATCAATACAAAGTTTTAAAAAGAATCCTGACGTATTTATGTCCAAAATGATCAAGAGCGATGAGAAGTCGAGCTCACGTGCCGTAACTCGTTCCCATTTTGTCCTACGCTTATGGGCGTGTTTAAACTATTTCAGCCCAAAAATTTTCTGTATACCACACATTTTTACCCTGTAAATAGGTTACTCAAAGGCCTACGCTTATTTCCCTCAATACAGTGAACTGAACGGAACTTAATTCAATTTCGGGAAGATAGAAATTGTAAAAAATAAAACCATCTATCTGGGCGGCTTTGGCTGTAATTCTGTCAGCGTGCGGCGAGAGATCAAAAGTATTTGCGTAGTTTAAACCCAAATCGTTGATGGTGGTACAGTCAGTCATTGGTGTGCCTTGAAAGACCACTGGATGGAGTAGCCTATCAGGTCCAAAACACATACAACGACATTTAGACGGTAAGAATTCCATTAGCCATCTTGAGCTCCAAGCTGACAGAGCAAGCAAACGTCGTAGCATGCAAATACAAGGAATTCAGTCAATTCTTAAGATTTTGTAAGGCATTGAGCGTTTAAGTCGTATCACAATGAGATGCACTGAAGCATCCATTTGAGCGCGAAACCGGAGAAGGCATTAACCTTCGAACTTTGTCGAAGTATGGCTGGACTACGGTAAACCGACTTATAAACTGGTACGTCTGTTTGAGGCACAATAGATCAAAAATAGTCTACAACGGATCTCATTATTGGCCACGTAACCCCAACGAGGAGAACATGGTAACGTACCTGAAATGAGTTACTCTTTACTTTTGTATGCGACAGTCAATTCCATGAATCGTGCTGGGGTAACATGGCCTTTTTGTCCTCGAGCCTGACTCCTCTGTAGATACTTCGCGCTCTTGATTTACAGCATCACCAGACCGCCTTCGTTTTTTGCACTCAACAGAGTATCCGCCGCAACACATAGGTTGTTTGACTTCAACATAACGTCTCCCCTACTATGATATCGTGTGCAAACATATCCACTCGGAACTCGATTTTTGGACTTCCTTACTGACTCTTTATAATAACCGCAAATCATACTGACGATACTATGAAAACTTGTGACAATGCTTATGAAATTGAAAAATTACAGATTTTTAAATTGCTTGAATTATCCCGGGTATTACAAATATTGACCTTGATCTTCGGTTTAATTTTTGATGTTTTGCCATCCAGAACGACTTCTTAGCCATAGTTATTTGTGTCTGTTATTACTCCACGGTGGGTGTCAAGGCATAAGATTAAATACTCTAAAAGAGGACTTCCTTTGGGACTGACCAATGCCCGGATCGTCTGCTGCTTAAGACATAGAAACCGTCTTAGACAACTATAGTGATTTGGCTTCTGTTGGTCGGCTGATTGGCTCTGCCTGACCCCCCCGCCCATCCCCGCGGGTTAGACGGTGTTATAACGCACCTATAGGCGGGCCTGATGTTTGCGGGGTATGATCATTGAATCATATGATCCGAAGTATGTACGTGTATATGAAAGTAAATGCATTTACTTGCAAAAACGACAATTAAAAAGTGCCCTCTTGCGCATTTTTTTCGATGAGGGGACCAGAGAGGACCACATCGGGGATATGCCCCGCCACAGTCCCCTCTCCAGCCCTTCATAGCCCCCTCTAGCCCCGTCATAGCCCCCTCACGAGGTGGGGCACGAGGGGGCTGGTGCTGGCAGGGTGTATACATTTACTTGTAAATGTGAAAGACGTCGTGCCCATACGCCCAATCGAGTTGACTACATTTAAAACGCGATTCGAGAGGGATGCGCATTGTCTTCGTCCTTCTATGAGTTAAGCTTATGACGTCATTACAGAGGTAGCATATGCCACCTAAATAATGTCAGGCTGTCATTTAAATTATTTAAGAAGGCTTCAGGTCGTTTGCTTCAGAAATCTCCGATAAATTCCGCAAATATTCAAAATGAATATTACTGCCCCCTTCTGCCAGACTTCGCTGTATTTTTGTTTCTTTTATACATTCAATCCCATATACCTTTAGACTGAGTATGGAATACTTGGGCAACATAATGCTCCCACACGAACTCCAGAAAGTCGCTGTTATTTTCGCCTCATCCGCTATTTTCTGGCTAATCGATACCATTCTGAGGATTTCTAAAGGGGGAACTACAAACCAGAGGGGTTCTGTACTTTCAATTTTTTCTGAGGACTGGGAGTGGAGGAATACATGGCTTTCACTCATCCACGCCCTGACAACTAGCGTTTTGGCTTCTATCATGTAATTCACGATATTTACCTCTAAATTGCCTTTCAAGAATTTACCGTTCAGAAGACTACATTGGAAATCTGATTGGGCCGAAAGACGCTGCATCAGTACTGCTTGTTTGCTTTTCCCTCGGTAAACTTACACGGATATCAAATTAACCTCTTGTCTTCACAGGATATTTTCTTCATGATATTAGCCACATCATTCGTGGACCCCCCCGAAGACACTCCGTAGAATTTGTGTTGCACCATGTTTTGGTACCCTTCGCTTGACGTAAATGACTCTTTACAGATTATACCTTGTTTCGGGTCAGCAATTGTTTTGGAGCGGTACGTTGGCTATGCGATTGTATCTCTTCTCGTGGAAATAAATTCAGTCTTCCTTCACATTCGAAGGTTGTTACTCTCGCTTACAGTCAGCCGGGAATCCCTTATATTCGCAATCAATTCATCACTTAATTTCAGTACGTCAGCCTTGGTATTTCTTTTCCTTACCTCCAGCCTTTAATCTAATGTTGTCTCGTGCCTTCTATAGTTTTCCATGACAGATTTCGAGTTTTAAACTTCTTCTGATCACTGTCTCATCCACAAACCTAATAATGCTGCAAAAAGTTTGGTAGTCGATCCGTGGATGGTGATTAAATTATCTTTGATTGACATTGTTTCGAGTTAGATAAAATCCTGTTCGATCCCTGTTAGCGTTTTACTGATCGGATAGAGAAATAGTCGTAACTTTGTGTCACATGCCTATTATGTTCATTAGCCAGATACTTTTTTTATTTGAGCATGTATTCGGGCTACTTTGAACAAACTACAAGTGCCGACTAAATAAACAAAATTGTAAATAACTAGTTTTCATTCGTCGGTAACTCAGAAGTCAAGGCAGTCTTATTTAAATGGGCGTAAGAAGTGAAAGGCTGACCGTCCAACCACACTAAGTGATGCATTCAAAGACTGAGCGCGCATTTTACTGAGCGTCACTGACATTCTTGAAGTCGTTAACTGTCCCCTTGCCCCATTAAAGACCCGAATTTTGGAGAGGCTTGAGACAATCAACCTTCGCCAATTGACGAGGTCAAAATCACCGTCACAGTAAAAAACGCATAGAGCCCTTTGTCGACTCTGGCGTATTTGCTGGCAGGGCAAATACGTCGGAGAAGCAGACTGATTATTCTAGACTTGAACGGACGCCCGTTCATCAAAAACGAAGAGGCATGATGCCAACTCATTAGTAACAGCTGAAGCTTAGAGACTGAACTCTACGCGAGAGGTAACAACCACATACATCGCGAGATGCTTGAGTCGCGGTTCTCAGGCCAGCAACAATCGCAACGGCTTTGCTATTTAGGGTCAAGACGTTTTCTGGGCAGACTCATTAGCCATGCAGGGAGCGCACGGATGGAGACCACTTCCGAGGCAATCTTGAACACATATGAGAATGATTCATAATTATCACATGAAGTACTGACATCTGCGACGCATATGATAGGTGTATGACTACATGAAAACTGTGTCCTATAAACACTTCATCACCTGAGTTTTCCCTACCTCCACCTGTTGCTGGTTCCGATAATGGGTTTGGGAATGAGTCGGAGATGATCTGCTCTCTGTTTCGGCTATCTATTTCCCTTCTCGGTGAAATGCATGTTTGACACCTGGTCACATGATGACCGTCTTCGAAGTAGTGCGACACCGATACCGGCAACAAGGGTCTTACAAGTACTCGGTTGCGGCTCAGCCCACATACTATCAATACTATCAATGAATTCCATCACTGTTACCAGCGGTGTACTCACGTCTGTTTCTTGATGTTCCTTTTGATTTCCTGTGTTTGAGTATGATGCTTGAATGCGCGCTGCCGAATTTACTCTGACTTATGCATGCCTGCTATCACAGAGTAAGAATCAGGGTCTGTGTTAACTGTGAGGAGAGATTTCTTTGATGCCGCCTCCAGAGTTCGTCAGGCCAGTGTTCTGTCAGTATGAACACACGTATTAAATTCGGTCATATTTCCTCTCTCCCGGATTTCAACCACACTTGTAGCGTTGCGTTGCGTTGCTGACCAGCTTCGTCGAAAACACGCAGCGCGCGAAGGCAGTCTAAGTGCGTCCGAAAATAAACTTCATGACAGACATGATAGTTGGGGTGGAGGCGGGTTTGGTAATCAGTCTTATCTGTCCTGTAACGGCACCTCCTGCCATCTTAAGCCGAAATTCGTACCTAACAAGCAAAGTGGAAATAAAACCACTTATCAAACCATGTAGGTACATGCAGCCTCCGTCAAGCTCGACTGAAAATTCTGGAATTGGCACGAGGTTATTTAGAAGACCAAGCATGTGGTACATGAGATCTCCATTGAAAAGTCTGTCTGTACGAATGCGAGGCATGAGTTGGGCGGCCGAACGCCCATTGTCTGGTAGTATTCGGCCCATGGTATTTGGGCTTAATTCTCCGAATTCCTCTATTCGGCTACGTCTTCAGCGAAAGGTTATGTAGCAGTTAAAGAGCTCGACTCAGCACCCACCCACTGGCAGGGGTGATTCGCTTGTTGTGCCCTGCAATGCGAAATCGTCCTCAATGTTATCGTGCCTAGGGTCGGCTCTGATTGACAAAAACCTCAAGGTGGCCAACTGAAAGTCCATGTGGCTCGCATACCAATCGTCTCTGGCCCTGCAGTCTGCGGTGTTCGAATGTTAATCTGCTGCCGACTGGCTGCATTGGGAGGCCTTACTCGTGATGCGCGGAGTGTTCAATATGAAGTCAATTCAATCATCCGCGATAGATGTCGTCATGGTCACAAAGTGCACTCCTATTCAAGAGTTACCGGTGAATCCCTTCATATTTGCAGATGCGATGACATCGAAATGTCTGTATGTTTAGGACTGAAGGTAAAAAACTTTTATCACAGCTTAAGTGTGAACGGCAATTTCGTAAATGCTTCTCCTGTTCATCTAGCTTCCTTCCTCACGTTTCGGCTGGGGACACTCATATGGATGGCCTGGTGGTTGTATTCGAACCGGGACCAAATTCCATCCTGGTTAACGGCGATCGGGACCGTAGGCCTTTCGACCATCATTCCTCTCAATTTTGGTCTCTTGTACCACCTTGTCAACTCTGACTACCTCTCAAAGTTACCGAGAGCCACCACCAATTAAGGACCTTCAAGATTGGGGCTTCTGCTATGGTTCCACATATTCTGACCGATCTGATGCCTCCTTGCATATATTGTGCGCCCTCCATATGATTATGTGCGAAAGCCAGCGCAGATCCTTTCTGTATTAAAATGCATCTGCTTTGCCCAAAGTATATCTGCATCTAGACTTTTATGAATCCAGCTGTTCTAGCTGCCAAATTAGGGGAAGCAGGGAACGCGACCGCAGGAGCCAAAGTTTTATCCGCCTGACGTTTCGGATTCCCACTCAAATCCATCATCAGAAATAGAATCAGATAAGCGTAGTGTTTGTTCAAGTCCCAACGATCGCGTCTCCCTCTGGAGTGCCTCCTTCAACTCGTATTTTCTCATGTAATGACAACTTTATTTATTCCCCACTTTCTAGGGCTAAAAGGAGAGCATTCTATTTCTAGGCAGATAAAAGTCGGTATCCACTAACCAGCCAAGGTTTGGGGTGTTCCGGAAACGTTGGGTTTAATTTTTAGATGCTCTTGGGTTGATTTGCGTCGTTTTTAGTCTTTTTACGCCATAAATAGCCCTACATTGGTTACACGAGTGCCATTTTTGTTTATTTTCTTACGTTCCGAGGGTTAGTAAATTACCTGAAGACGATTTGCGCACAAATCCGTGCTTGGAGCAGAACCTTCCAAGGAGTCATGCCCCACCTCGAGACCTCTGCGCATTAAGTAAATCACAACCAATATACGATCAGTGCGAAGTTCACGCATCATGCACCATATACTTGTCTCATGGTTATAGGTGACCTATGTCAGCTTTAGTTTGACCGTTTTCTTCACTGTGGTGTGTTTCAGCGCCAATCTATGCAATACTTATCAAGGCCGGTCTGTTGTCGGGAGAACTGTGTAGAAGAGTACATTGCGAGCAAAGGGGCAAGCCAGCCATCGTGCTCCGAGTCGCTGAATCGGTCTCGTTCTATGCGAGTGTCACATCATGTGAGACGGTGCTTAATGGGGTTTTCCTGCCAGAGAACTGAGGTACCAGTTTCTGTCCCATTTACTCCGTCACTCATCGGAAGTAATCCAGCCTGTTTTATCTCCCGAACGTGAGAATTGGCCGCCCATCTCGATTCTCAAAAACGTGAGGAACTCTCCCCTAGTAGTTGGACGTCGTCCCACAAGGCAACCATTCCGAGGATCCTCCTGTCAGCACACAGGGGCTGTTATCAAAGTTTTCAAGCTAGGCGCCCCAAAAACGTGTTAACCTGTTCTTCAAAGTGTACACGCGTAATTCGATTCCCGCCCTCAGTAGCCTGGAACCAGCCGAAGAGATGGTGGGTATTGAACGTTTATACCCTACATCACTTTAGCATACCTTGAGCAAGTTGGTTCTGCTTGCAGAAACATCAGGTCTTCTGTTTAACAGACACTAATAAAGTCTAATTAGACGGTGTCTACATGGTATTGGTTCGGTGGGGCCCTCTTTTATGCAGTAATGCCGCAAAATTGCTGCCATGTTTACCTGAGAAAAATCCTGTGCCCCTCACGGGCAACTCTGCTACTCGACCTATACGCGCTCCTGCGTAGTTAGTGAGCTTCGAGTGCGTGTGGATGGGGGCGTACAGTAGGTGGGCTAACTCCTGAAATGTCAACCGAAATCCCGAAATGCGTTTTTGTTTCGAAAAGATTAAATAAGTAGGGTTGTTAAACTAGTCAGCCTGCAACATAATTCAATAGTATTTCATTTACGTCAGGATGCTGGCTTTCGAATGAATTTCCTTCCGGCTGCATGCAAAAACTACACTCTGTAAAAAACGACTACTTAAGTAGCATGAATTTTTTCCATTGATTTTTGATGCCCCTAGAAGTCCAATTATATTTCATGGAAAACCTAAACAACCCCATTTAGTCTTTTGTTCATTCCGTAGAGAATTAAGTCTTCTTCTAATTTTATACGCGAAGGAGGGACATAATTCAGTTTTAAAAAGTTTCTAATTGTGGGACTTTTAAATACTGTGAAATGGCCGTTCATAAATTGTCTTATCTCTGCATTTACCAATGTGGCTTATAAAGTGTACAATATTGATCAAATCCACTGCTAAATTTTATGAACCCTATATGGTCCCCCCTTTATTATCGTGTGGTTTTCCGTACGCGAAAAATATACGGCTTGTAGTTTGGAAACCCTGAATCCATGTGTGACGGTAGAGCGGCTTCAAAATTATTCGGGAATCGGAAAACTTTTTTAAAACCGAACTAGGTCCCTCCTTCCAGCATAAAATTAGAAGAAGACGTAGCTTTCTACCGAATGAGCGGGAGAATTAATATTTTTATGCATGTTTTCCATGAAATATAATTGGACTTTTAGGGGCATCGAAAATCAATGAGAAAATTTCATGCTACATAAGTAGTCATGTTTTACAGAGCGTAGTTTTTGCATGTCGCAGGAAGAAAGTTCATTCTAAAGCCAGCATTCTGACGTAACGGAAATATTATAGAATTATGTTGCATGCTGACTAGTTTTACAACCCTACTTAATTAATCTTTTCGATATAAAATCACATTTCGGAATTCCGGTTGACAGTTCATGAGTTAGCCCACCTACTGTATGTGACTGCCATCTTACGCCCAGTCGCATGCAAGAGAATATTTGAAACTTGTAACCACCAACTACATCACCAAATCTTGACGTTTGACAACTGCTGTATTTCGTAGCCTTGTTTAGAATCCACCAGCAAAAATTATGAGATTCAGTTGCCTCTGCTAGCATTGGCCCCGAGTCGCTTGAGGCATACTTCGCATTCTTTCCTTAAACTAAACCCCCCCAAGTCTGTCGAGTTATGACTACCGTGAGGGACTTCCTCCCTTGCAGTTCGACTTATCTAATCTGCCTGCCGGGTCGAAAATATGGGTGATATCTTATAGACGCTGCCTGAAGCAGCTCGCCTGAGGTTTTCAGTTAGTCTGACTCACTGTTATCCAGCCTTGAGTTTAGTCTCAACCTGCCCACCAATCCTAATCTTAATTATAACAGCAAAGTCTGACGGCAAATATGACCCTAAACTTAACACTGATGGATAATACCCAGCGTTTGCAACCCCAAGCGTGCTTTGGGTGGATTTGTCACACAGAGTCAGTCTTACCTGGTGTTGCAAGTGCAGTTACAATAAAACAAATTAAATTTAATTACGAAATTAGAACTGGAGGCAATATGGGGTCAACAAGTGTTGTTCCCACTAAGTTTCATTGTCGCCGGGTTAGCTACATAATTTTAAGTGGGCTTGAACGTTAGTCACCCAGGTGAGCCAGAGTCTGGCTCACAACTGGTGGCCACTAAACAGATCTGGTGATAAATAGTCGGAAATATACGTCTGACGGCTCCACAATGGTAAAGATGTTTAGGCTTAGAGTTGTTGAAGGTAGTGTGGTCGACAAGATTAAGATTCCCAAATCAAAAGTCAGGGAAGACGGATTGGGTTGGACAGCCTTTACTGCTGTGGAAGTGCGTACACAAAGCTCCGCAAGCAAGTTGTGCTGTCAATAGTAGTGAAAATGCGATTCCCAGGTGGCATATCAAAAGAAAAGGAGGTGTTCACCTTGCGTCATCTTGCGAAATAGCAAATACCAGCACTTAGGGGGTGCGGTGGCGGACACGGTTGCCGGCGTACGTCGCGCACACTGATACCCTGCCACTTCCCATTGTTGTTGTGAATCATAAACCTGATTATTCGTTGTGTATACCAGGGGGTGTGGAGTGGAATGCCAAGGTGCGGGCTCGACCTTGCCATCCACCTGCGCCCTCCCCCGCCTCCGGTCTTCTTGCCTCTGTCTTGACACCGGGCTCAGGTAGGGAAGGAGGAGAGAGTGCGGTAGATGCTGTGCGAGTGTACTATCACTATAAAATAAATCACGCACAAGTCACCCTCCCTGCGCCCACCTTGCTGTTGCGCACACGGTGGACATCGTCGAAACCGACGGTCGAACTCTCGGGTATGGCTGGCTAATGTTAGCTAATAAGTCAGAAATGGCCACAGCAGTCTCCCTTGTTTTCGTTGGTAGCGTTATCCTGAATAGAGGACTTTAGTGTAGTTCCCGATGCATTCAACTTCGCATTGAGTAACCGTGTCTGAAAAATAGACCTGTATTTCGCGATTTCATGTCGACGACTGGATGTTTGTTCAAACGCCTTAACTGACATAAGCTCCCACTTTATCGGAGCTTTACTTCCCCAGTGTGTTGCCTTCGTCCAAACTGGGACTTTTGCCACATGACAGAGTGAATCCAAAGCTTGACCGGAGCATCTTCTAAGTCCTCATTCAGCTCTGCCGTTTCGATCATAACCGGTAGTATCTTGGACACGTTGATGGTCCGTTGATGACGCCTATAGCCACGGAGAGAACCACGCGATCTGCATTCCGAAGGCGGAAATATCGTGCTGCTCTTGGCTTACCTTGCTGCCAAATGTTTTATCAGTTCGATCTGATCGCGCGTTTGACACTTTGCTCATGATAAGGAAGCTGTGGCGTCGAATGGCAATCGGTAGGGGAATTTCAGTTTTATCGATATTCAGGTAAACTCTCTTGCTGGAACGCATCATGTACATTCGAATTTCAGATAAATAAGAACTAACAGCGTTGACTAGGCGTGTTTGCTAGTAGTCAGATGTGTGAGATAAAAATCCCGATTGTCCGTCAGCAGGTACAGGTGGTACAGTTTTCAGCGGCTCCGGCAGCCTGCCTCTAACGCCTGCTTGCGTCGCTTGCGGATTTTGTATGACGTTTTGTGGTCTTCTTGGCTAGTAGCACAGAGTCACGTGAGCCACGGTCAGGACTATGTGGGGGGGAGTGAACTTTCATATTATAAGCACGCATTTCGAGGTGCCATCGTATTGTTTCATGACTTCGACCCCAATGAAACTGATCTCGCAGCCATGCTGTCAACATACGGTTCTGTGACCAACGACGGAAGTGAGTTCTCGAATCAGAAGTCAGGAAGACAGAGCTGGTGGCATAACGCTTACTGTGGC